GAGCCCAGGGAGCTCCCCGCCGTGGAGCTCGATCCGATGCATCTGCAAACCCTAGTTCCACGTGCGCTCAGTTCCGCCGGTGAAGGAAGACAGGGCTTTGTAGCTAGGAGGTCATTCCGCTAAACTCAAAATAAGAATAGATTTCGTGTCTGGCAAGAATACCATATTAAAGAGTAATTTTTTTCCTGTTATAGATCCATTAGGAAATTAAAAATCTAGGCTGTGACTTTAAAATATGGAATGGAATTTTCTTCAGAGCCCCCTAGGTAATTTTTTTTTCTTGTTAAACGCAGAAATCTAATGAATCTAAATCTTCTCCTTGATGATAACGTTCCCAGAGGCAACTGCTATGCCTTGACTACTCGCTGACTTGCAGCTAGGATCATATTTTCAAAAAACGTTAACATAAAACCTGACAGTGTTTGCCCCAGGCTGGAACTGAAAGCTGCGGCTTCTAGGTATTCAGAAATATCTACGGTGTGCCAGGACACAGTGGGTGCTGAGCAGGGCAGGGGAGGGGAGGGGAGGGGAGACAGGTGGACTCACAGATGGCCGAGATACAGCCCAGCCTCAATGGCTCCCAGCTCAATTTGGGAGACACAGACCCAAGAGAACAGGACAGAGATGGTTTGGTGCATGAGCATATCAACCAGGGCAAGTTAGAGCACAGCCAGGACAAGTTGGTGCATAATGGGGACAAATTAGAAAAGTTAGTGTGCAACCAAGACTAGTGTACAACCAGGACAAATTAGTGTACAACTAGGACTAGTTAGAGCACGATTAGGACAAGTTAGTATACAATCTGGGAAGTTAGTATACAACCAGGAAAAGTTAGTACACAGACAGGACTAGTGTACTACCAGGAAGTTAGTGTATAACATGTGAATATTCGAATACTCCAGAAATCAGACTTTCAGCAAACCTGGAAGTACAGAAAACAGTGAAGCCAGGCTCTGCGAAGCCCAGCACTTGACTCTGTGGGAAGAGCAGCCCCAGCCCCTCCCTCCGCATCCGCACTTCTCCCGAGGCCCGGAGAGGAGCAGGAGCACCTCAGCAGTCACCAGCGGCGCCAGCGACAGCAGCCGGGACAGAGAGAAGACCCACTCCAAGGCCTGCGGCCGGGGCTCAGGGCCGGACACGCCAGCACAGATGGAGCAGGCATCTCGTGTTAGTTCATGTCCCTGGAGAAGACCTTCAATCGTTAAGAAAATCATAGTCCTATCTACTGGTGTAAGAATCCAAGAAATGCATAAAATGTTTTATTGAGGTTTTTGACCAAAGTGCTTGAAATTTTAAAAATGTGTGTCCTGAGGGTGAACATCGCTGGCCTGGGATATTTGATTAGTTTGGCACACTCTCCAACCATGCTGGGGGAAGCAGGAGTGTGCGTGTGTGTGTGTGTGTGTGTGTGTGTGTGTGTGTGTTTGCCAAGTATCGAATAAGTGCCAAGGGGATGTCAACCATGGGCGTAAATGGTCAGGTAGGGTTTTAGAGAGATCGGGAACTTGGGCTGACGCCGGTGCTGGGGACCAGGCATGTAAGCGGGAAAGGCATGAGCAAAGGAACATACTGCATTGATCCCCCAAATCAGATAGCAGTTTTCTCAAAATATGTTTGCACAACTTGGTTGCATTCAAGCCTTAGCAACAAAAAGACATCTCCTTGGCAAATACCCCGGCAGTGCCATTGGGGCTTTGGGAGTGTTCCACAGAACTCGTAGATGTACCTCCTGAACAGGTGTCACGAGACCCGGTTCTGGTTCCATATCTGCCCCTGACTAGCTGGGTGACTTGGTATAATGTCCTCTCTGGGTCTCATTTTCTATGAAATCTGTAAAATGAGGGAGTTTGTCTAGACACTAGAGATTATAAGAGAATCACTTAGGATTTTAAGATGTGCACACCCAGACCATACGCCGGATCTACTGAATCAGGACACCCGGGCTGGAGCTCAAGGGTGTCAAATGGGCTCTGCACGTGATCTTATTCACGCACCAAAGGCAGGAACTGGCTGTTTTAGGTAACGTTACTCCTGTAACAACGCCTCGAATTTCACTGTTTGATCAACACGATCAAAGTTTGTTCCCATTCATGTGACAACCTATGCAAACATGCCACCAGCCGGACAGGCTCCAAGTGGTGATTTGGTGACCCCACTCCTTCTGCCTTGTGTCTCTGTCATCTTTCACGTCATCTTCAGCCGCCTCGTGGTCTCGTGGGAAGCCATCTCCATTCTGGTGAGCAGGAAGGGGAAAGCGCGCGGAGGATGCTGTTGGAAGGTCCCAAGGGGCCAGGCCTGGAAGCGGCGTGTGTCACTCCCGCTTACATCCGGCTGATGAGAACACAGCCGCAGGCCACACCTGCTGCAAGGTCGGCTGGAAGGTCACCACAGAAAGACAAGGAAACGGGTTAGGGGAACAGCTGGCAGTCTCTGCCACAGCGCTAACACGAAGACCTTCTCGGAGTCTTCTCAGCAGCAATGCTCCGGAAAGGAATCCCGTGTTGCCACCACAGTCCTCTGTGAGAACCTCTATGCAGAGCCTGGCATTCCGGTGCTTATCTGTCATTGTCCACCCCAGCTGGGACCTCCCTGAAGCAAGTGCTACACCTTATTCATCATTCTTTCTGTTCCCCCAAGCACCCAGCCAGTATTTTGCACAAATTATAAACTCAGCTGTTAGCCGGGTGAATGACTTACATGCATGATTTTGAAAAAAAAACTCATTAGCCCAGGGAAGAAGGGCTGGGGGCCCTGGTCTGCAGACCGAGGTTCTACCTCGGCTCTGTCTTATAAACGGTGGGGCTCTCCCCAAGCCTTGGTTTCAGTAAAATTGGGCAACAGAACCGGCCTCATTAAGTTGTTGGAAGGATTAACGAGATAATGATTGCGAATTGCTGAGCACAACATCTGGGTGAACAAATGCACCCCTGTTCATGGATGCACGGGCTCACGCCATCCTGAGAGAATCTCAGCAGAGGTTGCATTCACAACCAGCGGGCGGGAACAGATCAGCTCCACTTTGCATTTGCGAATGGCCTGGAAGTTTGGCACCGTGGAAAATAACATCTAGAATGGTCGGTATTTTATCCAGGGGGTCCAGCTGACTCTCATGAAGTCCCAGCAGGATGAGGGTCGATGTGATTGTCGCTGTAATTTCTTACATCTACACGGTGCTTTGTGGTACTCATGGGTCTTTTACATCCATCGTCTCAATTTAGGGTTTAGCAAACTTAGTAAATGTTTTAGCCATTGCAGGCCATATAGTGTCTGTCACCACAGCACAGCTCTGCCGTTTAGCACAAAAGTCACCACAGACAATATGTGAACAAATGGGAGAGGGCACATTCCGATGAAACTTCCTCTGCAGAGACAGGCAGCAGGTCTAATTTGGCCTGCTCAAAGCAGCCCCGAAAGTTCCAGCTAAGTCATGTTGGTGCCATGTGGCTCTTCTTGCGATGGCTGATTGGACTGGGGGTGATAGAACCCAAAGCCAGCCAGACCTTTGGCCAGTGACCACTCAAATTCTTTCCCCTGAGAGCTGAAAATGCAAAGTAAGCCCACGAAGGTCAGCCCGCATTGCTCCCCTGGGAACCTTCGCTTCTCAGCGCCTGGCTCTCGGCCACAGGTCAAGTGAAGGGAGGGACCAAGCAACCTGCAGACTGGGCAGCACCTGGGGGACATTAACCTTGCAAGGTCACACACCCTGGGGCAGAGCAAAGGGACAGAAAGGGGAGAACAGGGAGACAGAAGAGACAGAGACGGGATTGGTGGGGGCAGGGGTGGGGGGAGGGGAGGTGGGGTGGCTGCCCAGCCTGGGTTCTGCTGACCCTCACGGCAAACTCCTGGGCTTTCTGAGCTCTCCTGCGTGGATTTCCTGTCCAGGACAAGGCAGTGCTGTGGCAAGGACTGGGATTCAGGCTTCCCGGGCTCCGTCCCAGGCCTTTCCTGCTAATCCACAGATCTTAACCCTTTTATCTTCTACCCCATCAGTGCCCGTGTCTCCTCCATGGCGGAAACAGAAATCAGCCTTTCTGAGGGCATGCCCCCGTCCCGGCTCGCCGCACCCTCCACGCGAGCCCACACCTCGCCACGGACGCCGCCCGCCCCGCTGCCCCTTCCGCCGCGGTGGGGCCCGCTCTGCAGCCCGTCCCCACATACCACGCTCCTCACACACCACGCTCCTCACACACCACTCGCTCCCTGCACACACCACACACCACATGCTCCGCACGCTCCCCACACACTACACACCACATACTCCACACGCTCCCCACACACCACACACCACATACTCCACACGCTCCCCACACACACCCCCACACACCACACACCTCACACACTTCACACTCCACACACCCACACCACCACTCTCAACTCACCACCACACCCCACTCCACCTGCACACACCACACGCATCCTGCCACCCAACACCACATCTCCCACGCTCCCCACACACACACAGCTTCACATACTCCACCACCCACGACACACACACACACACATCCACACACTCACACACACCACACACTCCACACACCGAATACACTCCTCATGCACCCACCACCAACACTCCACGAGCTCCACATAGACCTGGACATCCGCATACACCACACCACACACCACACACCACATGACGCTCACACTTCAACATCACATACACTCGAACACTCAAGCCCACCCACACACCCACACAACACATCTACACTCCACACAACCCACACCACAACTCCACACTGCCACACACACACGCTCCTGCCACACACCCACAGCCACATGCTCCCCACGTCCACCACACACACCTTCACATATCACACCAACCACACACCACACCACACACTCCACACACCACACACACCACACACTCCACACACACTCCACACACCCACACCACCCACACCACACACTCCACACACCACACACACATGCCACACACACACATCACATTCACAAACACAAATATAAACAAACCACACCCCCACCACAAACACGTACACATACACCACACACCACACACAGACACACACACAGAGACACACACACCCCCATTTCCCGTTTGCTCCACTGCCAGCACTGCCGGCCTGCCCTCTGGGCCTCCTCCCCCCCCAGGCACCCCAAACGCCAGGCCCGTGAAGAACGCAGCAGATTGGCGTGTTTGGTGCCCCCTCATTTCCTCCTATTGTTCTGGGGAATGTGTCTGGTGCACGTGGGTTTGTGGGAGGAAGTGGCTGAGAGTGGCTGTTTGCCGGGTTTATTCTACTAGCGATGTGGGAGGTGGCTTCCAACTCTGATTTCTGGGGAAGAGACGGAGGGGAGACAATCCGGCCCTCTGCTCCCGGGTGCCTTTAGACGCATTCAACACACATTTTGCAGAATACGACTGCGTGGGCGTACTTGGCCAGGCACGGGGACGTGTTTGGGAGAAAACAAAGGAAACTAGGAAGGCCCTGGACCTGCGTCCTGGAGGGGCTGACTAGCCGCTGGCCGGGGTGGGGGTTGGCTACGAGAAACAACTGCCATTGGCTGGCACTCGTGGTGTGCCCGGGACAGTGCCAACCAAGCCTCCCCTTGCAGCCCAGGAGGTAGGTGCCGTTTGGCCCCTAGTTGAGAGATGAAGAAATCGAGGCCCTGACAGCAGGTGACATTAAGTAGGAAAGCTAAGACTCGAACCAGGTCTGCCGTGACGGGGCCACCAGACCAGGCTGACTTTGGGAACACACAAAATTAGCAGGAGAGACACACGCAGCCCGGTACGACCTCAGCCGGCGCACAGATGGACGCGGGGTCTGTGTTCCAGGGGGACCTTGGAGCCGGGCGGCTCCTGCTCACTCGCCTCCTGGAGGTGCTGACAGACAGCACCGCGGGACCGCGCACCCCTTACGCAGGCCAGGCCCTGTCCTCAACCCCGTGCGCGGACCGTCTTCCTTAGTTCCATCAATCAGAGAGGGAGAGAGGGAGGGAGGGAGGGAAGTGGGGAGAAAGAGAGAGAAGGGGAAAGTCATTCCCATTCCGCGGACTCTCCAGTAGTGTGGACGCGGCCTGGGCGGGAGGTGGGCCAGACCCCGCTCCTCACCTGCTCGGAGAGATGCGGCTCTAGCAATTGCCGCCTCCTTCTCCTGCAGCAAGGTTTTCCGCCCTCACGGTTCATGCCCCTCCATGTCCAAACACACCTGGACTTTCTCCTTGTAAAACAAACTCGCCCTGTGACCCCAGGTCCCTTCCGTCTAATCCACCCCGCCCCCCACGGAGGACTCCCAGAGGGCACTGTGCTCACTGCCTCCAGCTCTTCTCCCTCGTCCTCCCCCTTCCTCCTTCCCGCGTGCCACACGTGTGACTTACTCTGGAAGGCGACTTCTCTGCACAGGGGTGCAGGCTGGTGTGTTGGCGGCTGTAACCTCAGTGCCCAGGACAGCGCTGGTGCAGCCAGGCCAGATAAACCTGCTCAGATGAAGGAGTAGATTACAAAGCACGTTCGCGTGCGCCAATGAGTTATTTCATCCGACCTCCACGACTGATGTCCTTCTCGGTCGGTTTCATTTTGCAAGGAGGGGACAGAGGCACAGGAGGTTGATTCACTTCCCCAAGGTCCCCAGGCCAGGGTGAGGGGAGATGCAACCTCCGACTCCTGGGTCTGACTCCTGGCTCAGTGCTCCATCCTTCACCCACGGCTACCTCCAGCAAAGGGCCCCCCACCTCTGTTCCCAGGCCTGCTTTGCTGATGGGCCAGGAAGGAGGGGGAGGCTCCTGCACGGAGCCCAGCGCCCAGCGCCCCTCCCGCACCCGGGGCTGAGCGTCCGTGGCCTTCCGAACCTCCCTGGTCCGGCAAAACAACGGCTACTTGATGCGTTGGTTAAGGTAGTACATGCGGGGGTATCATTAATGCAGAGGCAATTAGGTCTTCAATATTTCTTATTTTGCCTGCCAGTAGGAATTAATAGAAAACCTTTCAATCAGCGACAACTGCAGAACGATTTCTGGCCCAAAGATGATCAATACCACCCAGCAGAGCGCTCCCTGCCTTCGGGAGGCGGTTCGCTCTCGCTGCTTTTAAACCGGAGCGGAACGAGTCCATTTCCATCTCCTTTAGAAGCACCTGCCCGCATCCCTCAGGTAGGGACGTGGTCATCCATATGGCGCTCTCTGTCCATATGCATGTCGTGTTCCGGGTGCTGGGAGTGCTCACAGAAGACCCTGCCCCGTGGCGAAAGGCAGGTGATGTTTGCGTTATGCGGAACAGCAGTTGCTGCCTTCCCCGCCCCCTCGACCAGAGCTGCTGGTCCTGCGATGGGAACCTAAGAATGTGAAACTCTGAGTCTGCCCCTAGGTAGTGTGTCCTGGACGTCCCCCAGAGCCAATGGACCTGGCAGCCTCTCAGGGGCACCGCTGGGGCAGTTGGTGGCATCTTCCTCCCCTCTGCCATACACGCCCAGTCCCAGGGCTGGCCCTTGCCTCAGTTTCTCTACCACGACAAGGACTGCAGCCCTGCCTGCTTGGCAAGGTCCCTGACTTCCTGCCCAGTTCTCGCCAGGCGTCTCCCGGGTGGTGCCCGTGGGAGTGGGGTGAGGAAGAAGGGTTTACTGTTGGGTCCTGCTCCTCTATCTCCTTGTCCCCAACCCCCTTTTCCTGTGTTTGCACCATGTCCTGCTCTTAAGCCGGCAGGACTTATGAGGGGCTCTTGAACAATGGCCACCCATGGCATGGGAAGATTTTTCATATGCCATTAGGGAGAGCTGATCCCAGACCTCCATGTGCACAGCAGGGTAAGGGAGACTACAGGTCCATCAGGTCATGGAAGAGATGTACAGAATGTTCTAGAACAAATGCACCTTTTGCATTGGCTTCTTGGTTACAAGAATTCACCAAATCCAGTGTCATAATGTCATTTCTGCACTTTCAGGCTTTACCATCTGCTTGCGGAAACTCCGGAGTGTGAATGCACAATAAATACCTTGGGCTCCTCCCAGGGTTGCCGCACAGGCCGCTGTCTTGGAGACGCTGCGGGAATTTTGGAAGCTGATGGAAAAATGACCACATAAGCACATAAGGGCAGGGGACACGTGAGCCTCAAAGGGTCTGAAGTCGGAGGTGAATGGTGACAGCGTCTCTGTGGCTGGCCCGGCCTGCGGGTGCCGGGTTTGGATGTGGTGGATCCAGGAGGGGTGACGCTTGGCTTGGGCCCACACGGAAAGTGTTTCATTGGATTTGCACGCGTGAGTCTCAGTGGGTCTCATTTGGCAGATGACTGAGGAACAACCTATTTAAGCAGAACCCAACAGGGTAATATTTAATCTATGAAAGATGATAAAATTTTAGGAGGCTAAAAACCCTCGTTTCTAATGACAGACAAGCATTCCGGCTCCGCCAGCCCTTCTCTCCCCTCACGTCACCCTCCTTCTGCCCCATCTTAATTCCCTGCTTCCAAGGAGCCCAGCTCCTCCCTCTACCTGACACGGCTCTAACCCTAACAACAAACAGAGCTGTCCTGCCATGCTCCTGTTGGGGAAACTGAGGTGCAGAGAAGTAAAGAGGTCACCTCAAGGTCATCAGTTGGGACATGACAGAGCGAAGACATAAGCCCAAGGAGGTGTGATCCCACCCGCCTTCCCCAGTAGGGACTCCCAGGCGATTTGGATGAACTCTGCACCACGGTCCCTAAGTTCCCTGAGCACGCGCCGTTCACGTACCGCACGGGCAGTGAGCATTTAGGATGCATTAGACGTGGCCTCAGGCAGTGGGGCTTATCTGAGTAGCTCGTAGGAGACTAAATGCCCTAATTTTGTGATCTGTTCCTTGGAGTCCCCACGCTGACATTTCCTGGGCTCTAGGTCTGAGATTTCCTCCTTTGTTTATTAGCAAAGGGAATAAGGAGGTGATGGCTGCGATTATGTGGTTGTGTTTTCAATTAAGCGTGCTTTCTAATGACTATGTGTTGACACAGTCAGACACAGCCTTGTCTGTGGGTGGAGAGACAATGCCTGTTGTGCCTCTGGGGAGTTTTACTTGTACCAGCGCGACAACACCAGTGGGAGCTGCATTGCACTGGATGTCTGATGTCCTTCTAGGCTGTGGCACAGTGTCCGTGGCTGGATGGGCTGGCTGCTCCATCAGGGGCAGGCTCTTTGCCTGGGGAAGGCTCTTTGCAAGGGTGGGGGTGGCATGGACTGGTGGGCCCCCAGCTCCAACCAGAGTCCAATCTTTCCTACTCCTGGCTCCCAAAGCCTCCTTCTGAAAAGCTTGTTTTCTTTACAGTAGACTCGTGGTATTTTTTTTTTTTTTAGAGATAGAGTCTTGCTATGTTGCCTAGGCTGGTCTCAAATTCCTGGTCTCAGGCAATCCTCCTACCTCGGTGTCCCAAAGTGCTGGGATTACAGGTATGAGCCACCATGGCCAGCAGCCTTGTGCATTTCAACCAGGCAGTGGCCATCCGTCCATTCATTCATGCATCTGTCCATCTACCCGTCCATCCACCAGCATGGACAATCTATTCCCCATTGCCCCTAGATAAGGCCCAGACTCCTGGTGTATCAATTTAGGATTATTTTTGCTCTAAGTAATAGAAGGCCTCAACTTAAACTGGTCTAGGCCATGAGGATGTTTGTCATCTCACAGCCCAAAAGCCCAGGGCAGGGCATGCTCCAGACAGGGTGTCAGACGTCTGGCTCCACTGCTCCCTGATCGCGAGCACTGGCTGCACCCTCAGGCTGGAGGTGACAGGGCTGCAGCCCCTCTGAGCTTCACGGCCAGACACAGACAGGACACCATCCCAAGGATGAGGAGGAACACTCTCTTCCTCTGTCTCCTTCCTGCAGATGGTGGGGTAGGCGGGGCAGGAGATGGCCTATGGTTGTGGATTTTCTAATCCCCAGGAGAAGCCATGGGTCGATCATGAAGAGTGAATTCAAACCTAACTGGCTGTCTCAGCGGGTCTTAAATCAGGCCAGGCTGAGTGGAAAAAGACAAACAAACAACCAGCTCCAGTGGGTTTCTGGAGGCCGGGTGACCGGTCAGCTAGGTGCCGTTGTGCCAACAAGCCCCTGCCCGTGGACGGCACAGAGTCTCTCTTCTCCCCAGGGCTTGGCACCATGCAGCCAGTCACCAAAGGACACACTCCAAACTGCTCACCTTTCCGATCTCCCCCGCCCCGCCCTGGGGCTTGCAAACAGCCTTCTCGCTTGTTACCTTTGGTGCACTTTTCATTTTGCCCAGGAAGGAAGGCGGTCAGCATAACGGCTCCCTTGTGCTGAATGTGTCGCCAACAGAGGCTTCCAGAGCCGCCTGCGAGCTCCCCTCTCCACCCTTGCTCCTGCGCCCCCACTGGGTGCCCTCTGCCCTCTCCCCTAGACAGAAGTGGTGGCAGCAGGGGACCCATGGGCTCGGATGCCAGAGTCCCCGGGGTCAAACCGAAGCCTTTGCGCTGAGGGTGGAGGCAGGCGAGGATGACTGTGCCCGGCCCATCCTTCTTTAGTTTTCTTTCAAAAAGAAAAAGAAGAGGCTCCGTCACACAGGTGTTCCGCAGCTGGAGTTGAGGGAAGACGCCTGGAGCCGTCTGCTCCGGAGGGAGAATTCAGGAGGGGATATTTCTGGGCGCAACTTGCCTCGTGCCCCAGCACCTAGCGCCACCTCCCACCGAGGCTCCACTGCAGAAAAGGAAGGTCAGAAAGCGGGGCATAATTTAGGTATTCACTCAGGAAATCCCGCCAGCACCTACTGTGTGCTGGCGCCTGTGCCGAGCTCTGGCTGGGGGCACCAAAGTAGACAAGGAAGGGCCCAGCGGTGGTGAGGCGTGCGGGCTTGGACAGACGGCCCTCAGCAGTGGGGCCACCAAGCCAGACACTTAACCTCTCCGAACCTCAGTTTCCTGGTCTGTGAAATGGGAACACTACCCCAGAGGGTGACTATCAGGATTAGATGAGATACAGTATGTGTGAAGCATTTAGACAGCAGTCAAGGAATGATAGAAAATGATGATGATGATGATGATGATGGCCTCGCAGGACACTGCAGAAGTGTGGGCTGGGAGCCTGAGCTGAGCTGGGGCTCCCGGAGGCCGGGGCTCTTGAGCTGTGGTTCACCAGGTTTACCAGTCGGGGGGGGGGGTGAGGCTTCGGCTACAGTTGTTAACAACCCTCAAATCTCAGTGGCTTAACACACACAGTGTACTTCCTGTCCCACACAGAGACTCAACGTCCAGATGACCCTGCAGTGACACAGGGATGAGGCTGCTTTTGGCCTTGGGGGTCCGTCACGGCACCCCCAAGGGAGATAACACTTGGGAAGCTCTCACCTGCTCTTCCGCACCTCAGCTGGAGATGTCACAGGCCATCCTCCTCTAGTCCCTTGGCCAGGCGTCACTGCATGGCCCCTGTTGCTGGATACCCCACGGAAAATAACTGTGGGGCAGAAGGTGGGGCAGGGAAGCCGGGACAGGAAGCGTGTTTGGGAGCCATGGGCGGCTCAGGGTGCCTGCAGGATGAGAGCAGGGACGGGCGCCTGGGGCTGGGTGCCGAGGAGGGTGAGCCAGCGGGCAGGGGAGGTCGGAGATCATACGCTGCAGTGGAGACGGCCAGTGGGAGGGGCAAGGCTGGGCCAAGGAGGCCCTTTGGGAGGCTGCTGCAGGGGTGTTGGCAAGGGAGACAGAGGCCTGACCTGGGGCTGTGGCACTGCAGCAGGGGTGGAGGGGACAGGTCCTCAAGCTGTCAACAAGTGGAATTGAGTCTGGGATGGGGCAGATCCCAGACCCCTCCCTCGGGGGACTGTCATTCACTGAGCTGGGGATCAGGGAGGCCGGGCAGCTCTGGGGAAGATGAGGGGCTTGGGTAGGGGTCTGGGTCCTGCAGGGCTCGCAGAGACCTGGGCTGCAGAGTCATTCACCTGCTGACACAGAGGCACGGCACCTGCGTGGGCTCAGCCACCCTTTGCTTCTGACCCCAGGAACAGAGGCGAAGCCGACTGAGCAAAAGCGCTGCGTGTCGTCCTGGCATCTGAAGCTCTGCAGCTGCTGATCACTCCCCAGTCCAGGCGGGAATAACCCCAGGACGGGCTGGGCTTGGGGGGGCTGCAACTCGAGGTGCTGATTACCGCAAGTGGCAGTGTGCTTTCAACACGGCGTGCAGCCGGCACACGACATAAACACCATGCTTTGCAATTGTTGAGGTAATTGAAACATGATTAACCCCCCGGGGTCTCCGGTCCTTGGGATTTGGAATCCAATATATTATAAACTGCTCTCTTCTGAAACCGGCCCTCTCAGCCCCTCCTCTGCAGACAGGAGCGGTTCTCCTAAGCATCGTAAAGAGCCTCGTGCATTATTGAACAGTGGAGGTAGCCTGAAGTCTTCCGCTGTCTTCGCCGCCGCACTCTGGCGTTCATTTCAAAGGCTCCTTTCAAGCCAACACAGGCCCACGCGGTCAGCCTCCAGGAAGGAGTCCCCACGGTCCTGAACGCGAACTGTCACCTCTCACTTCTGGGAAGAATTGGGTCGTCTTGGGATCAACCAGAGGTGAGCGCCTTACAAATCCATCCCGGTCTCCAGCACATTCTAGCCATTTCACAGACAGGTAGAGGGAGGCGCAGGGGGTTAAGTCATTTGCCTGGTTCGCCAAGCAAAAACATGGCAGGGTGAAAACAGAAACTGAGAGTTCTGTTCCAGCGCTTACAGAATCAAGCTGCGCCCACTGCAGAGAGAAGACACAGCCCCGCCAGAAGGCCGAGGAGGACGCCACCCCTCGAGCGACCCCGCCCCGCGGGAGAGCGGCAGGCCTGAGACACACAGCCGTGCTCGCCGGAGCCACTCCGCCCCGTGGAAAGGCCTGAATGCCTTTGATTAAACAGAGCACCGTTCAACAATAAATATTTCTCATGCAAGGCCAGAGGACTTACCACAGTTGGCTCTTTCCCAGCATGATGGAGTCAGCAGGAAGTTAGCCAAGGAGCAGGAAACGTGTGTTCTGTGGTTTTGGTGTGTTGATATTTTTTAAATCCTGAGCTGGAAAGGCTACAGACTGAAAACACACGTGGACGCTCTGCCCTCGTGGGCCCCCACCCCGGGAAACACCAGCGTGTGCTGCTGGACATGACACGGGGTCCCCTTCCCCACCATCCACGATTGTCCGCCCCCCGCCCCCCCCCGCCCCCGTGAGCCCCGGGTGTGGAGCGCCAGGCCCTGCCCGTGGGGAAGCAGGCTGGGGTCCTGGGGTGGGAGGGTGGGCGGGCCAGCGTAACAGGGGATTTGGGAAGGGGGCAAAGGCAAGACTCGCTCAGCTACGAGCTTCCTTTTCTGTAACATGGGTGGAATGATGTGCATTATAATTCGGGGCTGCCGCGAGATTAAGATTTGCAAAGTGCAGAGGCTTTTGTGGGGAGGGCGTTAGGCTTGGCCGATTGAAACCCTTCCCTTGTCAGTTACAACTTACCAGCTGCGAGTCCCCGCAGGAGGCTTCCCTCTTCTGAACCTGTTGCTCCACTTGTCAGATGAGGCGCTCACATTTCCTACATGCATCTTTAAAAGAAAGGCACCCGGACCCAAAGACCGGGACTAATAGGGAAGCGTTTGTGAGCTGTAAAGCCCCAGAGACTCGCAAGGCGTTCTTATTTGGGGTGTGTCGTTACTGCAGCGCTTTGCCTGGGGCAGGTCCCGCTCAGCCCGGGATCTTTATTTGTGTTAGGCTTTTGGATGAGACTGGGATAGTTAGGGCTTAACAGAAGAGGACTAGTCTGTCCGTGTCCTCACATAATTAATACTCCAAACAAGAATTACACAGCCGTTTCTATGAATATTTGATGCCTTGACTCTTCAACTACCGGCTCAGTTCTCTGATGGAATTGCAAGAAGAAATAATTGTTTTTACAGCTACCCCCGCCAGGGAGGCAGCTGCAGACCCTGCTCACAGCCTGAGGAGCAACGAGTGAGTTTGGCCGGCGAGAGGACAAGGTGTGTGACCCAGATGTCGGTGTCCCTGGTTCCCAAAAGGAGAGAGAATTCCGCTCGGTTCCTTTTGAGGCAAATGCTGAAGGAATTGGCTTCTGAGCTCTGAGTTTCTTGGAGGCAGGCGGGAAGCCCTGCTCGAAGGCTGGTAGGCTGGTTTCTGGACTGCCCAATGGGAGGGACTGGCGCTGGACACCCAGGGCGCATGGCGGGGGTCACAGGGGTGCGATCAGTGGATGGTAGAGAGGGGGGCTCTGGCGTCATCTCCAGCACGCCAGGGGGGCTCCTGGGGAGGCAGGCAAGGACCTGGGCTCAGAGGACGGCCATGCCCTACCTCTGTAGCTCCGCGCACAGCCAGGTCCTCCTGCCCTGGCCGGAGAGGAGCCAGCCCTCATACTGGGGAGGGATCCGGGCCACCTCTGTCCCGGAGGTGTCCTTCCCGAATTCTTGGCTTCTCAGGTCCTGGACTCCTCCATCCTAGAATGCCCCCACCCCACGCCAACCAGAGGCCAGACACACACTGAAGGGGTGGTGGTGGTGGGGCTGCCCTGACCAGGTTTCTCCAACTACAGTGAATTCTGAGAATTTTTTGTTGCCTGGGCATCCATTTGAATATAAATGTAACTTTCTCACACCAGAAGCAGGGCTTACACACCCTCGACAGGGGTGGCAGCTCTCCACCTTTTCCCAGTTCCTCAGTGTGGCCGATCCAGACATCTGCCTTATGCGACCCCCTCCTGGTGACCCCCTCCCTATGGGACGGCTGGACACAGCCTGCCTGACTCACCCCTGACTCCCACATCCCACGTGGGGTGCCCAGACATGCCACAGTGACCCCCTCTGAGTCACCGCTGACCCCACGGAGCTCGCACCTGCCTGCTCCAAACCCACCGTGAGAACCCGCCACTGGACACCTGCCTGGGGGGTGCCCTGGGCCCCAGGGAAGGCTCCGCCCACAGGTCCCTCACTTTCTCACCTGTTCCCCACTTCTGATTGAGCCTGTGTGTCCCAGATGGCCCCCTTGTCCACTTGGCCCCTCCAGGCATGTTACCCTCTTCTCTCCGGGCTCTGTAAGGAGTAAAACCCTGTTTCTGTTGTTTCACGCGTGTGTAGAATTTCCTCCTCTGGTCTCACCTGACCCACACGCCGACCTAGCGTGTTTCCTGGCCAGGGCCCTCCTGGAGAGGCGCCGTCTCGGTGGGAATACACTGGACACACGTCAGACAGGAGCCACAAGGGCGTCTGCCAGATGAACAGTTCCCGTGAGAGGGACACCTCGTCACTGGTCAGACACATAGGCAGTAGGTTGCCCGCCAGGACAAGGACATACTGTGGAGGCTCACCCACCGTACACACCCATGATGACCTCCCCCAGAGCCCGGTCAGTGCAGGGCCATTTACAGCCACTCTCCTGGGAGAGAGCTTAAGACCAAACTGTAGGAAAATTCAACACCAGCCTCAGAGCCTTTTCAAATATTGTTCCAAAGCGAGGGGTCATGGCAAAGCTGGGTTTAGAGCCAGGAGGCCGGGCAGCAGGGCTGGTACCAAAGGTGGTGTCAGTTGTGGGTCCCCCCATACCTCTGCTCTGTCCTGGTCTTGGTTCCATCGTCCTGCCTGCTGATACTGTGACAGAGCCTGGGGAGGCCAGGGAGTAAAAGGAGAAAACAGAAAACAACAAACTGCCCTGAGAATTGTAATCACAGCATTGTCATCTGAAAATGCTCGCCCTCCTTGTGCTGTGCTGCCGGAACGTGAGTGTGCAGATCTGGTGCGAGGTGGCTGGTGGCCCCTCAGGCTCCGGAAGGAGATCCCTGGGGGTTGGAAGAAGAGGGTCAGATGTCTCGGAGAAGAGGGTCCGGTGCCAAGGTCGGGGGTCCCGGAGGCCGTCGTTAGCCCACCCTTTCCTCGCCGATGCGGAGCCTCCCTGTAGGCTTCATGCTGCTCCTGTTCTCCCCCTGGCCCGTTCTGCTCCAAACCCCTCTCCCCACACACAGGCATGTGCCGGAGGTCACAGACTGGGCACTGCAGGGCTGGGAGGGGCCTCAGAGCTCACCCGGACCACAGGGGCTTAAAAGAGACCATGGACCGGGCACAAAAGACAACCAAGCCACAGACTGACAAATTCCTTTGTCAGCCTTCTTAAAATCAGAAGGATTTAAAGAAAACTGATGAGTCTTCTTAAAAACTTATCCCCCTTAGCAAGCCCACTGGGCCCTACCTAGACTTTAAACTCTGACACTCA